GTAATTTTTAAGAACAAATAAAAATGAGTTTCAGAAGATACAAGTTCTTATTTTTTATTTTTAAATATCAATTACATCTATTTTTAACATTATAATTCATAGTAATTTAAAATATAATAACCAAGGCATAGAATATTCCAGCATTATTGCAGCAACGTTGGAATGTTCCATGCTGTCTGGAAATTATTCTAAGTACGTAAATTCATATAGCAATTGTTTAATATTTTTATTTTATCCAATATATTATTTTAAACGTAATTTAAAATTATTTAATCTTTCGAAAAAAAAATTAAAATGTAAAATTAAGTTTATATTCCAAAATTTACTGTCAATACCGAAAATGTATAATGCATGTAATGTAAACTATAGATTTTCAGCGCTGATCAAGAATTTTGAAACACACGCCTAAGAGATGATAAGAGTGTCACATAAAAATCATCAGAAACGATTTTATGTCGCAATATATTATCGATCGCTCATCAAACTTTTTTATTAAGAAATATAAATAAAAATTAGGCTTTTTAATTTCCTATCACACTCTATCTATATATCATATCAAGTACATACATAAATCTTAATTATTATTCCTATTCTTTTTATTTCTTTTTTAACTTCTTCCACTTTTTCTCAAATTTATTGCACCATGATTCGTAAAAACATGTATCTATAAGAGTAAATGATGCTTAAATGCAGGGTTAGGAAATGCCTTTACTGTTTTCGTTACTTTTTTTTGGTCATTATTTTTTCTGACTGTAATGGTAACGATAATGTCGTTATTACATTTTTACAATAACAGGTCAACCGTTACTTTCATTACGGGTTACTTTTATCGTTACTTTCAATCCCTTATTATCTTTATAACTATTCAGTAGATCATATTATGTATACTTGGCTGAAAATATTTTATAATAGAAATTTGAATATCAAAAAATGTTTTGTTACTTAATTTTTTAGACTGCATTTCGATAATCACTGCAGCCAATACTGAAAATCCGTACTATATACGTAATGTGAATTATAAATTTTCAGTATGTGAAATGCATTCTTAATGACATTCATATTTTGAAAAAAACAATGTTTAATAAAACAATGTTTAATAAAAATTTGTAATAAAATCTGCGTTTATAAATCACAATTTAATTTCTCAAAGATAAGCACATTAAAAAATAAAAATATTAATGTAAAGAATTATCGAAAATTTATTAAATTTAAATTTAATATAAAGAAAAACTTAGAATATATAGTCACTAGTTTAAAATTTTAAGTTTTAACATTGATTTCACAATTAATATTGATTATTAACATGATGTAATTTTTTAATATAATATTTTACTTTAATAAAAAAGTAACAAATAACGAATCGTTCTAAGATAATAATAATTCATTCACTTTTATTAAACTAATGTTACCAATTCTGTTTAAATGTGTGTCCACAGTTGGGATCCATCTAATTATAAGTCCAAGTGAGCCTTAAACAGCTTAAATGAGGACTACGGAGCAATCATTCCTGTCGAATCGTCAAAACGATGAAAACGCACGTAGCACAGCGAAGTGGCGCCATCGGTAACGAAACATGAAAATACAAACATCTCGCGATAGGTAACGAAACCGCCCAGCTATGTCATGTGCGACTCCAGAGATCTATTTTACCGATCATTTTCTATCTACGACAGTTAAGGAAGTTTCCGAAGTACTCATGTGCACAACAATCATTTTTTAGTAAACGAACAATCGCGACGAATTATATTTGCTACTTATCTATCATCGGTTACGCAGCGAGGTTAAGCGCTTAAATTACGATTCGTAAAGAACAACGAATTTGTCAAAATACGACAACAGGCATTACGTGATATCAGTTTACTTTGAAAAAAAATACAGATAATTAACCCTTCGCCTGCATCATAGATTTTTTAAGGAGCAGTCAAAATTTCAACACTCAAAGTTTCCGTTTATATTTTGCTATAAAAAATGATCTATGTAATAATCAATATGATATCCGAGTTCAAAAATGTTTAGAATATAAAGTGGAAATGTAAAACAATAAAAATTGTTTTTCCGATTTTTCGCAACAACTGATTTATAATGTAATTAGTGGGCGATCCACGGTGTAGATGACGCAACGTTATGATAGTGAAAAACAGCGATGCAAACGGAGAGTGAAAGATACAAGTACGTAATAAATAAGTTTACTCACCGGTCGTTGTGGCGTCGTTGTCCGAAACACCAATCGCAGCTTCCAAGAATTTCTCCATTTTCTCCGATCTCGTTCAGACATTCCCGTCCGCTTGCGCGATCCGTCCGAGACGTAAACAAAACACACACCAGAGAATCCTGACATCTTTATTCACTTCACAAAGTCTCGATCGTAGAAGTCACTTCCGAAATCCGCTCCGATTTTGAATGACGCGACGCGGCACAAATGCGACGTAAATGCGCAATTCGCGAAATAAATACGTCTAGGCTACAATTAATTTATTGACAAATGCAAGCGTATTAATTGAACAAAGAGATTCTCGGATCTCTCTATGCTATAGTCAATTATTCAACGGGCTTTGAAAATTTGTCGTAATTATTATCGAATTTTATTGAATTTTTTCAGCGAACAATTCATAACTATCATCGCATTTAGAGTATTTAGACGAAAAACACTCGAAAAACACAACGCGAAAGCAAATCAAGTAATACGTATTGCGACGATTGTTTGGGTAGTTACCGATTCGAAGCGGAGCGCAGGAATTCGAACGTATTTTCGGCAGTTTGGCACGTACGCGATGTAACCTTTCGTCACGAAAACGCATTTGCTCGCTGCGAAGTAAACAACACGTCACGAGGATTGCCCGCTTTTGTTCGATACTCACAGTGATTCCCAAACGTCTTCGACACTTATTCGCACACGAAATTCGATCACGACGAGAGAGACCGCCGAGAATAATGACGAGTGCGACGATAAACGACGTGACTTACGCACGAGAGAAAGACGCGAACTAATATGGCCGCGCATGCGCAGCGCGCAGTATAGTACCGTTAACGTTAACATTTCATTTTTGAAATTTAACACTTATTACGACTTAAATTTGACTTGGAAGAAGTCGCACGGTCTGCCGTTTTACATACAACGCTGTTTTATGTGGTAAGTAATATGTAATTACTAATTACTGAGCGATACTGTGGTAAAAAGAACGAAAATCCAGAATTATATTATTATATTATATCATAGTACAGTAAAACCAAGTTATATGTATCAAGTAAAGTACAAGTTAAGTTATAACCTAGCATTTAGTTATAATATCCCACTCAATAATATAACGGGTGTTGTATTAATTATATTGTTGAGTGGGGAATTAGTTGAATGAATTACCATGTTAGCATTAATATTTGATTTTTTTTCTAATGCTTATTTAAATTGATTCAAAGAAATCGTATATATATATATATATATATATTTTACCATTACATCTCACACACACAAAACGGTATGATTTCTTTGAGTCAATTTAATATATATATACATATATATATATATAATCTACACTAATAATCCAGCGACGTTAAGGTAAAGAAAAAAAATCAAGAATTATATTTTTATTTTATATTATATTAAATAGCAAATAGTAAATATTACGGTTAGTTGTAATTTTCACAATTGCAATTTGTGTGTTATATTATTAAATGGGAAATTATTACAACTAACAAGTACGTTACATGTAACTTGATGTTTTACTAGGATATAATTCCTGGACTTTATAAATATTATAAACTATTTTAAAAAATTGATTAATATTGATAAAATTACCTTAACATGTGTTTTTTTCTGTTCGAAAAAATGAAGGAATTTAAAGTTAAATTATACAATAATTAATTCTAAATTATAATTATTTTTAATGTTTACAAAAATGTGTAAAATATGTAATACAATAGATATTGGATCTTTTATACGTACTTTAAAAAATTGTTGAATTCAACGTACTATAAAACGAATAAAGCTAATTACAAATAAATATTATAATTACAAGCAATGCTTTTAATACCGTGAAATGTAATGAATATAAAATTTATAAAAATGTAGTTTATTTCGATGTATTTTAAACGGACGAATAAAATGTATTATTTAATTTATTTCGCTTTACTTTTTATGTAAGATAAAGAAAAAGTTTTGAAAAATTAGAACAATTTATATTATATACAGATAAATTATTTTGATGACTGGAATATTATTGTAAGATTTAAAATTTATAGCATTGAAAAAAGTTTTTGTCAATAATAATCAAATTATGAGAAGAGCTATTTAATAAAAGAGATTTTGTCGTTTTTAATCTCGATTTACAAGTTACAACACCTTTATGGGATAGTTTTTACTTGAATGCTTCCATTTAATACTTCAGTCAATTTACGCTTTGCAATGCAAACCAAACGAACGAGAGACCAAGCTCATACTTTAAAGCTCGCGCAGCCAAATAGGATTCGAACGCGAGAGAGAGAGGTGGAGCAAATCTCACGTCTGTGTATTATCATCCTTTTGATGTCCTTCTCAAAGCTGGACCTTGTCGAGCTTACATTCCCTGTTGTTGTAAGTACAGGGAGGTAGAAGCTATAAATTTTGATAATCGAGTAGACCCGTCGCTTATTAATTGTTATCATTCTTATTCACTTAAATGCACTATTATATCTATAACATCTATATCACAAAAATAATGAAATTCTATTTACAAATGCAAAAAATTGTGCGATGAACTTTTAAAAAAATAAAGATCGAAATAATTTAAAAAATAAGTAAAAATTTATTATAGATGCAAGCATACATACCATCTTCTCCGATAATGACTTAAAAATCATGTTTTAAAATGTATCAAATTAATAACAAATTAAAACATTAAATATATATATTTTAATGTTTATTAATCTCTTCTGTGTATTAATCTCATGTAATTAACAAGTCACATTTCTTGATCAGTTTACTAAAAAATATAATTTTTAAAATAGTGATCGAAGGAAACAAATGACGTGGCAGATAGCATTGCCGCTTTTCAAAGTTATATGAAACTAGAGTGCCATCCCTGTATCATTGGAATCTGGAGCGTACTGGACAATACAGGGAGACAGTCGCAGCGGGGCTTTATTAAGCTTATTAACGGAACATACAAGGGTGGACATATCTACCTCGCAGTGGTTGGGGAAAATATAACCGCCGAGAGGGACGTGAGGATGGAAGGTAACGGTGGCGGGAAAGCTGTATTTCAACTCGTTAAATCGTGGTGCATTCGAGACCTCTATTTGTCGTATCTAATATCATAATGTCTTTCTTTCTCTTTTACTTTTTCCAGTTTTACTGTCTCTGCCAGTTATCTTTCAAACGACACGGTGGAATAAAGTGAAAGAGAAGCGTTCTCGAGAACAACCTTAATTAAGCAGTGATATTTCACGGTAAGATAATGTTATTTCGAACAACTGATATATTTCGTAATTGTTTTTCTATATATATAAAATCAAAATGTATCAATAATTGATACATCGTGACAAAATAAGCTTTATTTTATAAATTTTATAAGTGTAAATGCCTTCTCTTATACACAGTAAATCAACGAATAATTTCATATTTAGAATTATAAATATTGATTTTAATGCAGCATATTTATTTATTTTAAGGCAACCTGTTTAAGAAATTTGAGTTGTTCCTCCTCGTAGATACATTTATTGAGACAAAACAATTTTGCTGAAATATTCAAATAGATCTGAAAATACAATAATTTTATTGGCTGGACTAATAAAATTATTATGTAAGACGGCCACATGATGAACAATGGTGCAAAAAATTTTGACATTAAGTTGCAATCAACTTAAGCGTTGTACATAATTATTTTTACCGTCTAACGCGTGAAATTATTTTAAAATCTTATTTAGCTAAATTTTTAGATTTTTTTCGCAACCGTGAACATGTTCAATCGTTATTCCGTGAACATGTTTGTATTTTTAAAAAATTTATATATAATACAGTATGTATTTTTATACAGCAACCCTCGTCTTTCCGACAAATTTTCTTCTCAACTCTCCCGCCCTCGTTTTATCGCGTGTTCTGCGTAAAAGGATTATTAACTGCACGCTTCGTAGCTGAATTAACGAAAGACGAATTGTATTGGAAACGGGAAAGAACGAAAAGAGTCATTCCGTATGGTCACGAACAGATCACATATTTTTTTGTTTCTAATAATAATTCTTTCTGAAATCACGATACATTTGTCATTAGGCCATTATAACTCCAAGTTGTCTAGCTACAAAATGGTTTCAGTGCATTTTATTATATGTATTGAAACTTGTGTTAAATTGCAAACTTCTTTCCGTGTTTTCTTTTAAGCTGATCTACGCGGAAACTTTACATTTGTAATAAAGTTAGCTGCTATGCAAAAATATACATACGCGTGTAAGAACCAAGGGAGATGAAGGTTCAAATATGTAAGGGTCGCGGCGGATTTAGTGGTAAGCTGACGGAGCAGGAACGATCCTCGTCTAATCGTATCCCTAGTCCTGATTTAGGACGGGATTTTAATTACGAAGGGTCAGTAAGTGCGGCTGTCCACTTGGCACAAGTATTCCTCCCTTATTTATAGTTCATTAGCTCGGCTTTCGCGTAGAAGGCAAATTAACTTATGCCTAACGATACGCCGTCTTTATCTACCGAAAAGATGAGAATTTCTCTTTCGCCTTTAAATCTTGCAATGTAAAAGAAGCAAACACACTTTCTAAAACATATATCCTTTGAGATTTTATAATGTCTTTAATTTTTACTATAATTAAACTATAATATTATATAAAACGTTTTTTATAAAAACATAACATTTTTTAAAAATTAAATTATAATGAAAAAATTTATTTATCGATAAAATAAATAGAAAGTGAAATAAATTATAAATAAAAACAACATCAAAAATTATCGAAGTAAATTTTTGAACAAGAAGAAATTTAATTTTGTATATAATTATTATTAAAAGAGTAGTAGAGCATATCTCGCAGAGAATAATACTTTATGTAAGCCGACACTTTTCTCAGAAAGCAGTCAACGATAAGATGGTCTTGTGAGCTTTTCCGGTGGCGCTGGAAGTGGCTCAGAGCGATACCATTGCACTGATAAAAATGCGTCAAAAGATCCTATTTATTTTGGCCGCTGTTAATCTGTTATCTCGTACTGCCTAATGCAGTCGTCGGACATAATCTTTTGTCGTAGTTGAATAATGTTTTACTGAACCTCCTTTCGGTCGGATGTTGGCGGATCGTAAATCAAATTGACTAAATTTATACTTAATAATTAATTATTTATTCTCTATAATATTCTTAGTGCGCAAAATATTCATAAAATGTCTTTAATTCAAAATAATCAGAATTATTATTTGATGTGTCAAACAATATTCTGGTATAATGTAACACATCGTGTTGAACATGTTACTTCTATGTGTACACAGAACGATTTTAACAAAGTAAAAATTTAACTTCATATATATATATTGCTATAATTTATTTATGCTACAATTAATTACAACATAACTCAAAAAATAAAGTTTTCCACAGAATAAGTTTCAATGAAGTTTGAATCATTAAGGCTAGATTGTTTCACTTTTCGGTAAACTTCAGCTCACTGTCTTATTCTCTTACTCTTTTACTCTTTTATTTATTCAATAACTAAATCTAAAAATTTAATTAGATACAAATCTACAAAATAAATTTTATTGGACTGTCAAAATAATTATATTAATTGAAGCAAGTTGGAACAACGCTGCGAAAAGTTTTGACATTATGCCTGAACTTCTTTTTAGCTGAACTTTTGGATCAGTTCATCTTTCTTCTTTTTCTCTTCAGAAGTTAAGAAGAAGAAGAAAGATGAACTGATGCAAAAGCTCAGTCAAAAAGAACAGGCCTATTCTAGCAACAAACTTAAACATCTTACATAATTATTTTTATAGTCCAATAACATTTGTTTTCTGCAGATCTATATCTAGCTAAATTTTTAGATATTTCAGCAAAATCGCTTCATATAGCATATAAATTTTCAGAATCAGCACGTATTTATCCGAATTGCGATCAATGAGAAAAGATCCGAAAGATTTAATGTCTTAATTCGTGCTTGTACGTTGTTACTTGTGTAACATACAAATAATGCGGTCGCGGCGGTTGCGGTTTCGCGATTGATCGTAGTGCCGATTTTTGCGGCGATTCCGAACATTTCACGACGCGAATAGGCGAGCGATTGATAAATTTATCCATACACAAGGAGCACATCCAAGGGGTTAATCACCTATATTCTTGCGAACCACGGCAAACCGCATCTACCTTCTCGATTACGCGTCAGCACAGACCACAGTGCAATAAACAGTAGCATCTTGTGACCGCGATTCAGAATTTTTGGCGAAATATGGAGTCTGAAATATATATACGATGGTCCAAGAAACTTTTTAACAAATCACGTAAAGATCTAAAAAAATGACAACGTCTTTGCAAGTCTAATAATTAATTATAGCTAATAGGTAAATTCATTAACAATTTCTTTGAGAAATGTATATTATATTTTATAAAATTATTATCATTTCAGATTACATAATGTAAGACACTATATACGCGTTATTATAAAACTATACAATCGTTGAAATCGAATCGAGCGATTTTCGAAAGAATAAAGCCGGTAGATTCTTGAAATATAATCGAGAATCCTTTAATAAACGGTCAATTACTTAAAGAATATCGTTTAAAGCACTTTTTTAATGTTCCAATAAGAAGCATTGAGATCCAAGCTTCCTCGAGAAAGGAAAAGGGGTTAAGAGAGGCAGGAGGTGGAAAACGGTGGAGGCGCAAAGGAACAAAATTGCGGGGGTGGGGCAAGCGATGCATGATATGGGAGAGTTCGACCCCTCTACCTGCTTCCCCAACGAGAGGCTCCGCCTCCAGAAAGCCGAATGACGTCACACAGACACTTGTTACGCCTTGCCGTTGCTTGATGGGATGCTGTATTGCTGAGATTTTGCATAAGCTAGACAGAAACTTAATCAATACACCGATCTGTGTATCCAAGAAATATTTCTTCCCTAAAATATTTGTTTATCCTTTAATCGTAATCAGATCTTTCTTAGAAAATTCCTGTAATTTAAAAAATAAAAATAAGGACCAAAATAAAAAATAGAAAATATCGATATATATATATACTTTTATAAAGTATGGGATAAAATCTTAATCCTCCGCCCGGTTAGAAAGTTAACGATGGACCCTCAATTATAAATCTTTGTAAAAAATGTCAAATGATTCAAATTTCTTTATGTTATACATTTGCAAATTTTGATTATTTTTATTAAAAGATTAACAATAATTTAGTATTGATTTTTTTTTTTAATACGAGTTATGTCATTTCTCCCTGAAATTAATTAGTGTCTTTTAATTAACTGGACTGGTAAATTAAACGGACCTTACAGATCTATCATCTGTGTTTGTAAATTTTGACATTTGCCCTGGAGGGTTAATACTACACTTAATACATTATACTAAATATAAATGAGCTATTTGTAAATGTTCTTAATATAAGTCACATTATGGTGAACGTTTAATGGGAGATTCATCGCTAGTTTTACCGTGGCAAAACGTATTCTATCCCCACATCACGCGTTTCTACTTTGCAAAGAAAGAAGGGGAATTACTCGAAGGCTGGACTCATCATATCGCGGCTACTAGGAGGCTGGGCAGTCCTGAGAAATTATACGATAACATCGAAACTTTTATCAGCACTTCCCCCTTATCATTAGAAGAGGTGACCCAAACGGGAACTGATTGTTGTTAACCAAACTACGTTCTACGATCGATGGACTTTGAACCATCTGAGACCCAATGTACCTATAAATCTATACTTTAATAATTAAACTTCTCTAACCTTCAATCTCGAAGACTAATTGCTTGAATATATAAACAATCGCGTAAAATCGCTAATCAATATATAGGAAAATTCTAAATGCTCATGCTTGAATAAATACGATTGCGTGAAATTGCTAATCAGTCTTTAGGAAAATTATAATCGTTTGCACTGATTCACGGGGAATCCCACGAATTTATTCCGACGTATATTCGATCACCTGTGTCAGCTGGTAATCTGGAAAATTTGCAAACGTCAATGCGATCTCTCTCTCTCTCTCTCTCTCTCTCTCTCTCTGTACGCGCGCGCGCGTAAAGTAACGGTGACCGTTTCGTCGGCGGAAACGCTGAAGGAGGAACGTCGTCGACGGAGAAGTATTCCACTACGTCGGAGATTCCGCCGCGGAGATCACGGTGCGAAAAGTGGCGCGACGTGGGGCGGGCGGTATGCGTGGTGGGAGCGCTGGAGCGTAGCTTGTTCCTGCCACCGAGGGGCGTCAGTCCGGGGGCAGAAGTGGAGGCGGGGGTCCAGAGTCGCGGGGCTTAGGCCGTCCCGGGCCGCTTACGCGTGGAACACGCGGTCCACCGAGCCGCTCCGCGCGGCATTACGTCGCGCACCGTCGACCGCGACTGACGTTCACGCGAGAGGATCGTCGACCGGATCGCTACCGCCGACAATCGCGATCATGACTCGGTCCGTCGTCAGAAGGAAACGTCAGGAGGCGATTATGTAGGAAAAGTGCACCAAGTTCATCCAAGTGTAACGCCGTGACGTTATATCGATTTCGAGAAATCGTCGCCTACGTCATCCTGGCAGCGGCAACCTGTAGGAATAGAAATCTGCGACTGATGATTTAGTGATCGCTGGCGACAGTGTTCTTAAAAAGACATAGAAAAATAGATAAAGAAAGAGAGAGAGAGAGAGAGATTTAAATGTGAGATAATAAATATTAGTGATGACTTAAGATATTAAATGTTAATAAATTGACGCTAGACAGTGACAATGTATTTCGAATTGCCGGTCTATCTGATCGCACGTCGCGCAAAAAGTGCAACGGTACATTGCAAGACTGAGTTGAAAACAGCTGCCGCATCGATCAAGGATCAAGACCGGAACGTAATTCCGCCGTGTTAAGTTTGCAGTGATGATCTCGCGGCCGATCATGAAAATCGACGCAATCGTGAAGAAGGAACGACTGATCGATTACGAACGGCGAAAGATCTACCGCGGTAGCTGGTAGCGAGGCACGACGAAGTCGCCTCCGTCTGTGAAGTAAGTGAAATCACGACGTCCCAGCCGAGGGGTGCGTGCTTGGGCGACGAGGGGCGGCTACTGGCCGATGGGATGCATCTACCGGTGGGTTCCGTGGGCTGCGGGGAGAATTACGGCACCGTTGGATCTCACGAAGGCGCCGGCCCGTGTGGTCCCTCCCTGGCGCCGCTGCAAGGTGTAAACAGCAGGTACCACCAAGTAGACGACGCCGACGCCGGAGGTGGAGGCGGCGAAATGAGCGAGAGTGCCGCCGTCGGCGAACTATGGTGGACCGAAAGGCTCGTCGGCGAGGCGCAGGCCGAGCATCCTGGAGAACTGGTCAGGACAGGTTGGTTCCAATTCTTGCTAACAGTGTCTATTTAATTAAATAATTCTAAAAGTGATAGAGAAGCGTACAAAATCCACTTTTCTCATGTACTTTTCAATTTAACTTTCTCTTTCTTTGAAATATTAGATTTTATAACAAAAAGTGTTGCGTTGTTGCATAGAAATTATATTTTTATAAAATGTGACAAAATAGTTTCATTTTAATTATATGGAATACAAAATTACACAACAAAGTAATAAAAACAAAAATTAATTTCACGTATGTATTTAATTATACGGAAAGTATATTTGATTCCATCATGCAACTTCAGTTCAAGTATTGTTCATCAGTAATTTAAGTTGATTGGTGATACTTTCTAAAACACATTTTTTTTTCTGTTTAAAGAGGTATACTTTACACATCGTAATATATATTCTTCTTTTTCTTAGTCTCTAGTTATATTAAGTAGGGAGAACAGAATGTAAACTATGCTTTTAGTAATTTCACGAGTTAAAGCTAGTATAAATAACGTCTCACGTTTAAGCACTAAAAAAGTGGGACATTTTTTGTAACTGTACTATGCTTCAAAGTGTTAATTAGATCCATACAGCATAGAAATTTAATATATTCATACTGCAACGTTTGCAATGTTATCGCAAAATAGCTGAAATATTGTTACACTATTGTTGAATTTGTTGGAATAATCCGTGTTGCACAATAAAAGAAAAAATTGACTGCTGCAACCGATTAAAAATGCTATGCCATATTCAACCAATCTTTTCTTTAAGTGTATGAACATCAACAATTATAAGTCAATCTAGAACGCTATATGAACAAATTAAATAAGTAAAGAAAGGACCAATCCGGTCGAGATTAAATCTTGGTATCTACAATATTTATATAAGTTCTGTAAATACATGTTTCAATATATATACGAATTGCTTGTTGGAAATACAATCATAAACTGAAGCTAAAATAATGATATCACAAACTAAATTGATCATTTAATAAATTTTTCAAATCATTTTTTTAATCAATTTAATAATAATGTTAATCATTTAAAAAATAGATATCTGTTTAATTAGATCAAGCAGATATTTTTATCTACGCATTATACGCTTTTATTAAAATTACATTAAAATTAGATATTAAATTAAATTGAAGGATTCTGTATAATAAAAATCTTTGTTTCAGGATCGCCGTACTTTCTGTGCAGCCAACTACCGACGCACTGGCGATCCAACAAAACGCTTCCAGTGGCATTTAAAGTGGTTGCCCTCGGCGAAGTTGGCGATGGGACTCTCGTGACAGTTCGAGCTGGTAATGACGAGAACTGTTGCGCCGAATTACGAAATTCTACCGCGTTAATGAAGAATCAAGTCGCCAAATTTAATGATCTTAGATTCGTCGGCAGAAGTGGTAGAGGTGAGTCTTTTTGATTATTACATTTTTTTATTTCTCTCTTTAAATTCTTAAAAGAATTGTGCAACACAAAGTATTTCCTTTAGTTCAGTGGCGTGTCGCATTTAATAAAAGACGTCGCATGTTTGTAAAAGAAGTGTATCGACATTCCAATTATCCTTCCGGAAATGATTTACCGTACCTTTGATCATGTTGAAGTTCGTAAGAGAGAAATCTGCGGCTCTGTATACTAGGACGGGCAAAAGCGCGTGCCACGATTTCCAGCCCTCTAAAATCACGGTTATTGTAATCATCATCATCGTGCCACCCTCGTCCATCCCCGTGTGTCCCCATTCGCGAGTTCCCGCTCTCCTGCCACCCCCAGAGTCATTACTCGATGTCTGCCGCAAGCCCCAACCGAGCATTCGAAACAACTGGCCGTTAATCAGAAATCATCCAACGGATATAGACGAATATAGACGGAGAAGATGACTTGCCAAAATCAACCAACGATCGAAGCTCTTGACTTGTTCATATTTCGCTTAATTTTCTATCCTTAATTTTCTATCACCGCGGCTCTTTCGCGCCAACACTAATTGATAAAAATGTCAAAGCAATATTGACATTAAATCGTGATGAAAAACAACTAACGCAACTATTTTTTTCTAATATAATAAAAAAAAATGTAGATAGAAAATAATATATACTTAATAATATATTAATATTTTGTATAATATAAAATGTATATACAAAGTAAAGATCTTAAGTTGCTGTTTTTCTTACGAAATCTTTACGATTGCATTCGACCTCATTTGCATTATCAAAATATCGATTTCCTAGCCTATAATAATTATTCACGGATCAGTAGGCGGCTTTGTCAAAGCCTACAAATGCATTTTGCACCCCACGATCCGGAGGGCGCGTTTATGAATTAACGGGTCAGACTACTCGTACACGGGATATTCGTCCTGTAGCGCGTCATCTATGTTTCATTTGATTTGATCATGAAGTGCAGGGTCACCGATTTTACTCCTCCGACGCACAGGTGCATCGGTCCCCGGAGTCAATTAGCGAAAGAGACACTTCCCTCGCTCGAAATCCTTCGATCCCTTTGTCCATTTTTCGGCTCGTTGTTATATATTTTTTTTTTTTACCGTTTCAATCTCTCCCCGATAATCCATAATACTCAATTTCGGCGATTGACCAAACCGCTCTCGGTGTGTTGATACTGGCCACCACCATCGGGCGTACCGGCCCTCCTATATCATCGAGGTTTTGTTTCCGCGACTTATTAATTTGATTGAATTGCATCGCATCGGCCGGCAAACTGATTCAAGAAATTGCAGCGAGGATTTTAAAACGGCGAGGCCACGAAAAATCGGCCGTTGCCTCCTCGATTAAAAAGAGCGATCGCGTCATGTATATCAGCGCGATACGAGATTATTTTTCGGCGACTTGGCGAGTTGAGGGCTGATATCCCTCTCACGATTTTTCTCACCGCACAATTTTCTCTGTCAGTATATATTCGATTGAAATTGCTTTTACACGTGTCTTCTGTTGTCACGTAAGAGATTACAACTCGCCGATCACACACCTCACAGTTTATTACCTCTAATCAGCCAACTATTAAAGTCAGTCTACGTTAAAAAGGAAATAATGCGAAACAACCGCAAACTGGTCGACGATCATTTTTCTTTTCATTAAAACTATCATAAACTTATAAAACATTGGCCGCTGTGAGATCTTTGACAAATAGAGATGCGTTTCTGAGAAGATTTTCTGATTTCGATAATGGTCGCTTCTCTCGTATATTCACTAGTAGGAGTAGATAATTCCAAAAACGCATTTCGTCCGGAAAGAAACGAAATATGGTAGCGCCGAATCAAAGAGGACCGGAGGCTGAAAACGACGACGGCCGTTCCATCATCATCGCCGGGGTCGAAAGCGGCCCGTGCCTATAATTAGTAATATACCGCAGTCTATATCGACACGGCTGAAATTACCACCGATAGTAATTATTTGACAATTGCAGAGACATCCTGTTGGGAGACTCTGGGACCTCCGCTCCGTCCCTACCACCAACGTGCGTCCGCTCTCGTTCCCCCTTCGCCCACCCACACCCCCTTAGCCTTTCTACCCTATACACTGCTGTTGCTGCTGCTGCTGCTGCTGCTGTTGCTGCTGCTGCTCGCTTAGCCCTACGCGATCCTCGTCCCCTCCGCTCATCGCCACGAGTATTAACGGACGGTTTCGAGTGGTTTCGGGTGGTTGTGTGTGGGCGGTTTGGGTTGGCGCGCTCATCTCGTCGTCGGTGTATTGCCAACGCACCGACACATATACGTACACATATGCACGCGCGCCCTGGGAGAGAGAGACACACGGGAGATCGTGAGTAGTCAAGCTGTGATGCTGCATGTTATATAGGTGCCACATACGCGTGGCCCGGTTTTGTCTGTCCGTCCGTCCGTCCGTCCGTTCGCCCGTCCGTCCGCCCGTCCAACCGACCGTCCGTCCGTCGTTCGCGAATGCACAGACCGGGTCCTGTCTCTGCAGATGACCGTTCCCATCATCGAGTATTAACCGCAGGTTCGGGCGCCGGAGAGGGGAGTCGGCTGTGCGGCATTATTAGCCCCAAATGCGATGGACTCGGCCGGGGGAGAGGGAGTCTAGCTCAACGTGCGACCCTTCCTCCAACTGCTCACCACCTTCCCCCATTCCACTCTTCCGACTTTCCTGATCTTCGGATTTTCCCTGATTTTCCAATTAGACATCTTGATCTTCGAAAACATTTTTTTCATGTACCTATAAAATTGATTCTAATTTTATTGAAGTTCCCTCCCTTTTAGTACTTCCTCGGTCCTGAAAGAGTTAGGCCTTCCCACGAAAACTTAAAAAAATTATATTCTACCTTCGTTGTCCAACAGTTACCTATTTTTACAAAAAAAAAATCACGTTAGAGAAATCGCCTTTTGACGCAAAAATTTGAATCGACATCCCGAAACGATGCTCTTTGCACGCGACAGATGAACGATGACGATGGCAATGACGGACGCGGGGAGTATCCTGGGACCGGGTGGCGGGGGCCACCGGGGGGGGGTCTTGTTGCGATATAACTGGGATATAACGCCATGTAGCTCTGCAGTCAGTTGCAGTTCCCGGGGGTAGCGCGGGGGCTGGCGGTGTTTGATGCCGGTTATCATGTTGACAGACACAGCGAGGTGGAACTGGGTGTACCAAGGGGAGACAATTACAAATCGTTGACATTTACGCCAACACAAACGATTGCATGTCCGCGGCGCGTTAGGTATCGTCTCTTTTGGGCGTAAACAGCAGTCTTGGTCGTGTTTCGTTTCATCATATTGGACAAGTTGACACCGAGTGTTTTGGTCGAACGGATGGCCCGCGAAATAGATGGCATCCGTATGAATTGTTTTCGTCAAGTTATCGCCTGCTGTATCGGCTACCACGAGACGACTTACAATTAGTTCGGCTAAAGCATACCGAAGCATCCTCCGGGTTTCTAATTCCGGAGAGAACGTAAATAACGAGAGACTAAATCTAGGTATAAATTTCTCACCGCGAGAACGAACCCTCCGTTCGAGAGGGACAATTGGTCGAAAGAGACAACTAGCTGCTTCTCCTACGGAAGAGTTGCGAGAGAGATTCGGCGAATTACCGAATGCATATTAGCGCGCGATGGGCCGTTTAAGAGCGCGTAGTCAATCTCTCCGACGGACGTTTATGGAGAAGGAATTAATATACCGAGCCTTCAACTTCCAGACCTTCACCGATGATATATGTACACGACCGCTCCACCCCCAGCATCCTTCTCTATTATCTTTTAACGCTTAAGAATATATATAATGCTTAAGAATACCGAGCTTAAGATCTAATAATAGACACGGATGTAATTGCAAATTCGCAAATTATAAATTGGATGTCATCTTGGTCGCGTTTAATCAAAGATAAAAACAAATATGTTAATTAGCGTTTAATTGATAAAATAAACATGAAATTATTTATATATAAGGGGCAGACTTTCAAAATGCGTTTTGTCCAAAAAATTTGTAATTTTCAGAAAATGAGAAAGAAAGCACTTTACAGAAAATAATATGTCAATCAGTAGGATGTTAAATATTAAACAAAATTGCTAAACAATTGCTAAAAATATTAAGCAAATGCATTTTTGTCTTTAAAAAATATAATGCACTTCGGAATGTCTACATTTTTTTAGCATTTAAATTAACAATGAAAAAATCTTCTGAACATTCCAAAATAGCTTATAATATGAATCTTTCGACACTCTGTCATCTCTAACTAAAAAAAATGAAATTTTGGACAAAACGCATTTTGAAAGTCTGTTTCTCATAAATTTGCAGAATATCTCGAAAATCGGACATTTTAAAAAAATTAGTTACATAAATTAGTTACTTTTTGAGAAAAATAATTTTATATAAAAATAATTTACGTTTTTATTAGACGAAAAGATTGCGAATCAATTCTATACATTATAGGACAGAAGCTTACATTGCTGCAACATTATAAGGAATGACCTGTGCTGTAGGGATATTTGATACTGTAAAAAATAAATACACATTCGTAAATTGATTGAAACAATGCAAACAGATAAATTAGTGATACATATAAAAGAGTAATAAAAAAGAATAAATTAGTGAAAGCACAAACACATTGGTATATATAAGCAATTCATATATTGTTCTCTGCGACAGGAAAAAGCTTCAGCATCACCATTACCGTGTCGACGACACCACCCCAAGTGGCGACCTACACGAGGGCGATTAAGGTGACCGTTGATGGACCACGAGAGCCACGATCGAAAACGAGTAAGTGGAACATGCGACACTTTATGCAACGTTTCGATCGCGAGATCTATCCGACGCGACGCTGTCGCATCGCCCCGGGGATTCTCTGAAAATGTACCGATAATTCAACGAAAGTCCCTGTACGCGGTAATGGGGAGTCATTACCGAGCAGATGGTGCGCGATGATGCAGTGGTCGACGTGCGTATCGCGTTTGGTGCGTGTTTCGGGTCGAACTATTCGCATACCAATACACATGCGTGCGTACACATACATACATACATACGAGAGACAATGCTTTTACAAGCGTACGCTCGTGCATGCCGGATACGCTAACTCACTTACGCTAATTTGCCGCGGAAACACCCGAAAAATTGCTAAAAAATTCTGTTGGCGGGCTCATTACTGGTCGGACGAAATTGATAGAATCACGCGAAATGCAGTAAAAGTCAGTTGATCGGGGGTGGCTGTGTGCCTCCAGGCCTCCGGTTTTATAACTGCCGGATTCGTCCCTCTGCGTCCGTCGGCGTCGCGTCGGATCAAAAGGAGAGCATCGCGCGCTCGTGCGCCCAACGATTCAGCCGACACCTATTTTCGGATGCATCCGCGGCGAGTAAAAAAAAATGGTTATTTCGATATCAGATTAATAGCCGTTGTGGAGTTAACCGCGAAAACGGCAGTTTTTTGCGGGCGTTTCGCATTTGTTGTATAAAGTATTGATGGAAGCAGGGCGCCGCGTACACCCGCCGGCTCTACTATTTTTTTCGAAATGGTCGAGCGTGATTGATTTTACTGTTGTTTTTACTGCTTGACTCAGGCCGCGTGTCGGGCGGGACCAGGTGCAAAAACGCGTGAATCTCGTCAATTTTCCAGCCGGCATAAAGTGCACTTAACGGCGGAGTTAAAGTTTCAAGTCGCATCCATTGACTTCCACACCTTTCCTACGCTTCAACGTCCCTAACAAAGATGATTTGATTCCGATTCGGGCAACAGTCACTTGATTTCGTCATTCGATTCCATCATCAACAAATGACCAATTCTCAGACGAGCCCGTACAATCCCGTTCAAAGAAAAAAATTTCAGAAAGCTTTTATTAAGACAATCGAAATTTTTCAAGATCCATTCATTCACTTGAAAGTGAAACACTAACAAAATTTTGATTCAATATCATTCCAGTAAACATCAACTAACAATAATATAAGGTTAATGTTATACCTTTACACTCAATAATATATGTAAATCTAATATAATACATGCTATACGTAACAGTTCTATTATTGACTGTGAAATTATGACATTGATGTTATGTTACTGTTAATTGATGTTTACTGAGAGTGAGAAACAAATTTTAATCAACATTTTGTTTCTTAACAAGTATTTTTAGAACTTTTTAAGAATATATTTTTCAAAAATTATATTCTTTTTTCAGCAGCTAAAAATACATGAAAATGTTAAGAATCACCCTTCAGGTGTTGAGAAACAGAAACCTTGTAAAATAATTAATCTGATAATAAATAGGTTACTAAAACCTAAAATATTTAAAATGTCAGTAACAATTTGTAAATATATCTATATAATTCCAGTAACTTTATGGTACATCCATACAAATATTGAGTATCATATCGCATGCTTTTAGGTCTTTACGATTATTGTCTTTTCCAACGATTATTGTCTAATCCACAAGTGGTAGGTGGAACCCGGTTTAAACGAGAGGCTTGTTTACATCGTTTAAGCTGTCGGTTCGAGACAGACCCAGGCAAACCGGACGTCGCGTCGCCGACCTACTGGCCCTTTCGAAACCCGAAAGAGACGCGAATGAACGCGTGTCGCGTGGCACGGACCGTCGCGGAATAGAACACGCATGACGACATATTGCATACACGGGTTTGGCATCGCCGATGGCGTGCTTCATCGACTGGCACGCATCAGGGAGACAATCTATGCAGCAGCAACCGGCGTACGAACGCCGTCGAGCAAAACAACCGGCAGCGCTTTCATTGTGCTGCCAACAATGCGCGACGCCCGATGCCCCGCAGACACCTGCCGGCTCTCATTATTGCGTGCATAATCGCAAGCTTTTTGTTATCGAAAATCATCCCTCCGTGCCGCACCCCCTGTGCCCCCATAGACGAGAATGTGGCCAATAATCGAGCAATTTTCGTAATTCACCGCTTCGTAGCACCGACAGCGAAAGAGTTTAGAATAGCGAGTCTTTCCTGTCCTCCAGGAAGGGAGGCAAATCCGGCAAGGGCTCTTTCTCTCTCCCTCCCTCCCTCTCTCTCTCTCTCTCTTTCATTCAATCCACAAGATAAATTATCTAGATCTATTTGTTATTCCTAGAACTCTTATTTTCGCCAAATATTAAACATATACCTACCTCACTTTAAGTTTAAAAATGCATACTTCAGTCACAAAAACCTTATAATACATTCTATGTTCAGGTTCGAAATCTGATTGAGTAATATTCATTGCGGATAAATTCTTTGTGGTGTTTTACGATGCTTACACACATTATTATTATTAAATTGACGATCAATTTTATTTGTGATACTACTATTCTAGCTTTAGTTCAGAACTGCGTTTCAAGACTGCAATGATCGTGTTTAGCGTACAGTTTGAAAAACTGTAAAATGTATATAAAAAGTCACATAGAAATATTATTATAAAAAAAGAACGATTTATTTACTGAAGTATCTAATAGTTTTGGTAGATACAGATCTGAAAATAATTTTGTTGAATCATCGAAATAATTATAAAAATTTCAAGCATGAACATGCTATAAAAACTGTTAATGTTCTAGCAATCAGTTTGAACGCTCTATACTGAAAAAAAATTTGATTAAACTAATAAAAATAACCAGAAATTCTGTTTTTCCTTTAAAAAATGCCATTCTTATTTATTGTTGGTTTAATCAGAACATTTCTTTCAATGTACATAATTATTTTCAGAGTCCAATAAAATTACCTTCAAATCAGTATACAGCTAAATTTTTTAATACTTTATAAAAACTCTTTCATTCTTTCCGCAGGCATCTTAAACCTTAACATGTTTGCCGCTACTTTATTTAATTGATTTATAAATATTCCGTTGAGAAAAAAGAAGAAAAATGTTTTTGGTAATGTCTGATCTTTCGTTTCGGAGAGATTAGAGCGTAAGGTGATATAGCTTTGACTTTTCGTGATAGACGGATCAATGACGACGAAGTAGTGTCCAAGTAATTTGTCAGTTGCCAATAACTGAAACGATAGCAGCAACAGCAGCGTAACGCAGGACGGATCGAGCGCGGTATGGATAAATCGAGAACGGGAGAGGCGTCCGCGAAACAAAGTGGCCGCTGCCCGTCACCGTGGCCCAAAATCATCGAAATGCAAGCGAACGAAACGATATCGATGGATGGGTGCTGTCAGTCAAAGGTCGAAATTGAATTTGCTTCACTTCGTAATTGATCCATATTTGAAATGTCGTCTATTAGTAGCATGCCATAGATTCACGAAATGATTTCTCGTTTTAATACAAGCGACGAGGCAACGCCTGGTATATCACCAGGAATGAGCTTTGTATTTTTTTATTTTTGTGTAATAATAGGCGACAAAACGCCACGTAATGTTTCTTTTTGAGAAACTCGCGAGACCCTCCTGAAAGATTCCGTATAGTAAAATACACGAGAAAAGTACCGATCCGTCGCCGCCAGTTCGATGACGATTCGTTGATTTCTTGCTATCGGGTCAATCAATGTTCCGCTTTATCTCTACAAAATCGTACGTTCGTCAATCGACATTCTCTTAAATATTGTTTTCGAGAAAACCGATAGCGACGAAAGGAATCATACGAAGCAATTTCGGCAGTCGGTGGCCGTCAATCAAAATGTTAAAATTGGAACCGGGCTACTTCGCGATTGGATTCCCTCGTGGCCAACTCTTGATCCTGATACCGGTCAGAGGAAGGCTCTATCGGCGACCGAAAAGTCCGATTAAAGACCACCTCCTGATAAAAGCGACGTCGAAAAGTGGCGGATCTAGCGAAGCTTCCGCTCGAATATACAATCGTGAATGGCAGCGCTGGAAAAGTTATTCGCAGTTATCGTTACGACGATCTGAAATCGAGAGCGGATGTGCACGGATATGTGAAGTACGTTAGGTGATGTAAAAAAGAGAGCAAAGGAGAATTGAATCGAGGAAACGTTGCACTACTGGAGTCAAGGAGAACGTAAGACGGGCGGAGGGAGAGGCCCCGTTATTAGAGAGGAGGAAAAAGCCGCGCTATTTCCGTCCTCCCGGAGCCGCCACACTTTGATTAGATAAGTCCACCATTCGTGCCGTGGAGATTGGAATTATTGCTCTCTCCGTTCTACCTTCTCTCTCTCTCTTTCTCGCTCTCTCTCTTCTTATCCGTGCTTCACGAGGCGGAGGGGCGATTGATGAAGGTGTTATATCACCATCATTCTTGTTTATTGTAATTAAATGTTTTTCATATGTCTTTTCTAGTGATCTTCTAGTATCTTCTTTTTCTTATATTTGCATTCTTTATTAACTTCAGATTGTTCACTCGTTACGATTATATCACTGTGTTGATAAAAATTCAATACAATAAAATTAACAACTTTTAGTACAGCATTTAAACAATTTTTAATTAAAATAATACATTTTAATTAAAACAATAAGTACGCATAACTTCACTTCCATTTCGTGTTATACACATACTTCTCAATTCAATTACTTAATTGAATACATATTATTTATTAATAGCTTTCAAATTGATAAATTAATAAACGTTCTATATTTAACAATAAATTAAAAAACAATTTTATTAAAAAGCAATATTTATTTTTATAACAGTTTTATTATAAATATTTTGTTAATTTAACTTTAGCTTTTATTATTATGTCTTTTGCAGCACAGTATAATAAATTGAGGGCGCTTTATACATACACTGTTAAAGATTTCATGAAATTTAATATACTTTTAAGTTACACAATTTGAACTTAATTTCATGACATTACATTAAATTTATACTGAATGTATTTATAACTGAAAAGTATATTTGTATACATCTATCTGAAATTTAATATATTTTTCATGAAAATTTATGAAATTTAATGTACTTTTCATAGGATTTTATGAAAAGTATGTTAAATTTTGTAAATTTAATGTACATTCCATTACGTTTAAGTAACTACTGTAACTTAATTTTCAGTTAAATCATTTATTATTTTTAATTTCGTTCATAATCACGAGCTTCACTTACATATAAAGGAAACTTATGATTACATTTTTAACAGTGTATGAACAAATCTGTATTCTGTAAAACTACGTCATAAGTTTTCAAAATTCGAACACTGCAACTCTAACTCTAATTTTATTTGTGTCACTTTCTATCAACGTGACTATACTTTCAATAAAAGACGCTTGAGAAATTTAGAGATGATTCAGAGTGATGTAGATGAAATCGCATTGTGAAATTTTTATGTATGAATTCTTTGCACAAATTTTTCAAGCGTTCATTTTATTCGAAATTTTAGATACTTCAATAAATGAATTCTTTCTGTTTAATAATGTTTCTATGTGAATTTTTAAATACATTTTCCAATTTTTCCAATTTTTCACTGTGCACTGAACGCAGCCGAAAATGCAGTCTTAAATTAAAGATGAAATAGTAATATCACAACTTAAATTAAATTGATAACCAATTTAATAATAATGATGCTAATAAACATCTTACAATTAGAACAGCATTCTTAGAAAAGAATTTATTGCAAAAAATTTGTGTTATCCTAAAGTTCGAACTTGGATCTGAAATGTATTATATTACAATTAATCTTATATGATTCGAATCAAAAAGAAAGAGCATTTTTCCTGGCAGAGAGAGAGAGAGAGAGAGAGAGAGAGAGAGAGAGAGAGAGATTCTTTTTATTGAGAATTATTTATGTCTGTCCCTCAAAAAATTTCTCAAGTATATCACTTTTACTGAAATTATAAATACATTGACATACGCGAATATAATATTTAAATGTCTCAATATCTATAATTTCGATTTTGTGCAAAGAATCTGTATATATCTAAAACACGATCTCCCACAACGATTTTATCTCTTGTATCATTGAATCATCACACAGATGTCTCAAAAATTTCTTCGAACATCCACTTTTACTGAAAAAGTTTTACAGTAGAAGTTCGTGTCTACCGTTTGACCTTTCGCGAGAACCTGAACGAAGCAAAGAGTACATCGACGGACCCATCGCTGCGTAACGTTCCGTACGTTTGGGGCATTATCGGCGTCCGGTACGTGAGAAGTCGTGGGATCCGCGCGGGGCCCTATACACGGGCCCCTCGCTTGTAGTATCTTCTGGCGCGGGCCGATCGTGGTAGTCGGTAGCAAGGAATAATCTTGTAGGCATCGGTTCAGAGCACTGAAGCTGACCATCTGGGCTCGCCGACAATTTCGTGCAGTTTGTGGTCGAACTTTATTTGTCGTTCGCCCTCGTGGCTGGAGGTGTTCCTCTCTTTCTCTCTCTCCTTTACCTTCGTTTCCCCGTCTTTTTCCTCTTCACTACCTTCCCTTCCTTTTCTTTCTCGTTTTCTTCCTCTTCTACCCTCGAAGAATAACAATTTGCGCCTAGGCTCGGCTTCTCCTTCGTGCGGAAACCGTTGAAGGAGAGAAAGAGATTGTGAGAGAAGTATGGGAAAACGGTGAAGGCAAACGTGCTACTTTTGTTACCTATCGATAATTAATAGATTTCAGAGTTTCTGAATTGTTTCTCTTTTTCTATGGACATCGGTATATAAATATTAAAAATCTTAAATTACAAAGATTAAAGACAGGAACACAAATTCTTGCAGAACGCATAATCCCTCGATAGAGTAGCAAGCCTTAAGCCAGAGAAATTGATCAATCATAGATTTTTCTTCTCACATTCGACTGTGATTGATCAATTTCTTAAGGCTTAAGGCTTACTACTCTATTGTGTTTGCGGGGTAAAATATAAGAAAATCAACCAGTCAGAGTCTTTTATTTTATTTTATGGAAAGAAAGAAACTGAAGGATTTTGATTACTTCATTTTCTTATGCATTATGCGTTATGCAAAACTCTGTGCTTTCACCCTAATAGGTTTTCTACAATAAGCCATTACTTAAGTTCAAATCTTAAGCCGTAAAAAGTCAACCAACTATTATTCTTCTCGCATTCGACTGTGAGTGGTCAATTTCTTATGGCTTAAGACTTAAAGCTTAGGTAATGACTTATTGTAGAAAGCTCATAACTCTTGAGACACGTCTGAAAATGTATGTTACATTTAATTCTTGTCTCATGCCATGTATTTCCTTGAAATGAATTCTGCACTTTGGAAAGGTTATTTTTTAATGATCTTTGTAATTTCATTTCAATATTTATCAGTTAATCTCTGTAATTTCAAACTCTTAATATTTACATGCCGATGTCCGTAGAGAGACAAACGAAACTTTGAAGTCTATCAATTATCCCACATCTAACATATTTCGTCTATGCACGTCCGATTATTATGTCCGGGCTTGTGCACGTGCCGAGTCATGTGCATTGTCGTGTAACAATATGTATCAAGCGTGTATTAGGATCCGACGTAATAGGGAATCGGAATACCCACGTTATGTATGCGCTGCGATACTTGGCTCGAGATTCTGTCTATCCGTGAGGTCCCGGATATGCGAGGAATGCTATTGAAGTCTATCAAGGGAAGAGAGGTCGAGTTTCTTCATTATCCTGTTCTATTGGACTAATGACGTAGACGCGCACTGGTCAATCTGCCCGATTTAGAAATTCCACGTGTCCGAATCGTGTCCAAGCGACAGAAAAATTCAAATTATGTCTAAAGAAAATATTTAAAGTGCGTCTTTTGGAATTCTTCGCGAAGCGATTTCTAATAAAAAAGAAACATTAGAATTCAATTTCATTTTTTTTCACTTTAAGTTTTCTTAATTACTAATTGCTCCAAAATTTCCTTAAACTGGTATTCACAGGTCAACTTATCTGGCAAAACTTTAAATTAATATATCTAAAGTTTACTTTATCTAAAGTTTAATTTATTAATGTATTTAAAATTTATGTAATTGAACGATATTTTTTCATTTTAAAGATTAAAATTCAAAAAAATAAGATTATATAATTTAAAATTATATGAAATTGTGAAAAACATTTGTTATAAATCATTTATCAAAATCTTTGGCACATAATTAGAAAAATGTTCGAATCCACTGGATTCTCGAATATCAATTAGGGTTAATATTGATTAAAATTTAAAAGACGCAAACTTACAAACGAGTAGTACGAATAGTACGATACGTGTATATACATATATATGTAGTAAATAATTCTTTTTCAGGACAGCAACATCAGCAATTCCGCGCGCTCGGTCTAGGACAAAGGCCCTTCCTCGACGCGCCGACCTCGTTCAGGTCCCACTTGCGAGAACTCGAATCGTTCGGGAGGAATAAGCATCACCATCATCACAGCAGCAGTCACTTACACGACCAGCAGACTGGCAACAACGTCACCACGAATTCGGTTAGCGGTGCCTGCACCAACCCCAACAACACCGACCCGACCGCATCGCCGGCTTCCAGTACACACCTCGGGGCTACTGGCGGCTCTTCCGTTCATCAGGATTGCTACAAGCGTAGTCCTCAGCACGGCGGTAAGTTCTGATTTCGTTGTTGCCTATTTTAAGTCGCTCCGATAATTCTAAGTCAATCCGATTTGTTTTACGTGAATAATTAATATTACACAATCTCATTAGAATTTATACGTTAAAATTGAATAAATGAAATGCAAATGTTTTTTTTTTCTATTTAAAACTTAAGCAAACAGCGCATAAATCCTCATTATGATACAAACGAATATAAATCTCTCTTTAAGAAATTCATATTCGTTTTTTAAAAGATTAAAAAACACAATAATATTGTTTCGATATTGCATAATTTTTTGTTTCTTTTTGAAGAAGAAAAAAATTTTTACATTTATTAACAAGAATTATTTTAAAGATATATATTTATTTTATTTATTGTGGATGAATTTTTTGAAGAAAGCTTTTAGAAAAAAACGTTTTGTTAAAGTATTTAAAAATATAGCTGGATATATATTAGGTCATTTAAAAAGTATCCGCGGTTTTTTGTTCAATTTTTGAATGAAAAAACCGCGGATACTTTTTAAATGACCCAATATATATAGATCTAAAAATTATTTTTTTTTTAGGCCCTCAAAATAATTATGTAAGATACTAAAATTAGAATGTTAAAATTTTTCGTAGCAATACTTAAGTGTTCTACAGATTCTACAGTGATTAGTTTGATGGTCTAAAACAACAAAATTATTTTTAGATCTAGCTAAATTTTTAAATACATCAGCAAAACGTTCTTTCCATGTTTAGTATATGCGATGAGTTTAATACATATGATGGTTGAGTACTCTACAGTTCACATTATCGCAGATATTGATGCTTGTTTATAACCTAGTAAAAATTTACATACCTCTGGTCTAAGTGTTAAAGTAGAAACAACATCTTCCAGTTTATTTGCTTCTTTGGCTTATGTGATGAATATCACAAGCGTGGTGTGCTGCTATCATCATCTCGCTCTCTTCGCACAACATTCTTCGCAAAGAGCGACTCGAAACGCGTTCTACCCCACCCAACCCTTTGTCGCGAGAGGGTGAAGAGGTAGGAAGAGGTGGGAGATGCCGGAATGGGAGAGAAAGAGAGAAGATCTCTGCCGTTTCGCGAGGTAATAGTTTCATACCTCGTTCCGGCTCTGCACCCTCTAATTCAACGTAATAACGACATTCAACCTGCCGTTTCCATCTCCCTCCTTGCCGATCTCTCTCGATGCACCGTTGCGTCGCCATAGCACGAGGAAAAAGTGTCCTCCTCCTCATGGAAGAACGTCATCGGTCATAGATATACCGAGACCTCTGCGAAGATATTTTTCTTCGCTCAAAATTTTTCCACTCGACAAAAATTTTCTTTCTGATAAAAACGATAAAGAATTATTTGAAAATTACCGCGGCGACTTCAAGTCGTTCAATTACGGTAGAAATTCGTCTAGCTGGCAAAAAAGCGATCATTCCTCTCGCTCGACGGCGACAGAAGCTATCCGTGCTCCGCGCCTCGGATAGCTTCGGATATTTCGAACTATCGAGATAATTTAGGATGCAAAAAGGCGGGAAGGTCGAGGCAAGGCACTTTATTTCTGCGCGGCTCGTCTCGCATCAGCGGTCTCGACCTGATCAAAGTTAAGTAGACGCGCCTCTGGCTGGTGAGACCTCTTTGAAGCTACGTTGCGGTTTCTCTTTGCCCTAATCTCCTCCTCCACAACCCTCGGCTTCCTCGCCTCTTCTCGCCGATCAGGTCCTCCGTCACCTTCCGGACTGAGACTTCTCGTCACTCGAGACACTTCTATGGATCTCGGGCATCGTAATTAGCTTGTTTATCCGCGCAAAGCTTATCATTGCATGAAAGAAAAACTCGAAAGAATATAAAACAACTCGTTAGCCGCTTAGAGGATGTAAAAGGCCGTCAAGAGCCAGACTAGTCAACGATACATCTCACTTCAACTACTTTTTCATAAAATGGATTCGCAATCTCGGTAAATATTCCATTTATCGCTCATTCGACACTCCTTTCCTTCTTCGCGTCTCTAATGAGAAGTTCCTAACTTCGATACACATCAGACTCTCGTGGTGCAAAATGACCAAGCGCGTCAGTGGATGTAATCTTCTCCCTCTCGTCAGACTCGGAGGAAAGAGGTGCAGAGCTATCCGTTTTGTCTTTAGCAGCCCCTCCATCTTCAGATAATTCTTCTCACTCGATTCGGACTCTTTCTGCCGACGGCACACCCGACATGCCCGTGCACTCACGTACGACTCACGTGCACGTCTGCGTAATACCAGGGATCGATCGGTCTCTTCTCGATCGATCCGGAGCTGGATCCATGTTGTTTTTGCCCTTCGCTCGCGCGATTCTTCCTTTTATCTTCGGTTCGCTTCGCTTGCGACGTTACTGAATCAAACCTATTCGCCTCCTCCTCCTCCTCCTCCTCCTCTTCCTCCTCCTCCTCCTCCTCCTCCTTCTCTTTCTCCTCCTCGCCTCTGCTCTCCATGACTTCGTCATCTCATGATTGCTTTCTAAATCTCACGTACGTGCCGGAAAGTTCTATAAGAAGAAGTGAAATCGCTAAAAATCCTATCAGAGGTATAAGAGTAAAAATGTAATAGCGGGTAACTACGTGAAATTGATAAGATTTACGCTTCGATAGTTTAGAAAATAAAATAGAAATAAGAAGAGAGTAAAAAGATTTCGCACAATTTTTCTCGAATATTGCAGGATAATTCGACAATTGCTTTCTGAGCGTATCGCAATTCCATGTGTAAATTTCGAAATACAAATTCTTACCGCATGCATTGTCTTCACTGAAGGAGTAAACGCCATGTCGGTTGGGAGGTCCCTAAGTGAAAAAAAAAGAGAAGTGAGCATTATTTCTGTCTCTTATAATATAACCGTGTCCGTTTCTTCCTTGCCCCGCCGAGTCTCATTTCGAGTCATGATCGGGGTAATGAGGCCCCGCGCGCAGTGGCAACGGACCGAGTAGGTACCCAAAGAGATGATGCGAGAGGAATGAGAGGCGAGAGAAGAGAGGAGAGGAGCGGATCTCTCTCAAGTGATATCAACGTGAAAGGAACGGAGAGGAGTGCCTGCTTGAGCACCAGGAAAAGGAGAAACGGGCGCGGGCGAGGAGGGGGTAAAACGAACGGTGAAGCCACGATGTTGCCGGCATAGTAGGGGTAAGGACGCTGATTATGGGGTGTCAAACAATCATGCTGATTGTATATTCTGTGCTGACTCCTTCTGTCTGCCTCCACGTCTACTCGCATAAGCTGCAAGCGAACTCTCGTTTCCCGTCTTCGTGTCCTTCTTCCTTCTCGTCGCGCAGTCATTCTCTTCCTCTCTTCTCTCTGGCAAGAGACTGTGCAGAGAGAGAGAGAGAGAGAGAGAGAAGGATTGTCCGTCATGCCTTCTAAGAGGTTCGTTGTTGGAGAAAGGGACGAAAACTACGTTTCTCTAAAGACGCGTCATGGTGGTTTACGAAGAGGAAGTTATTTATCCGGCTAAGATAAACCAACAGTCGAGTAAAATTAGAAAAATCTGCCAGATGGGAAAAATAGGTAACGGGTTTTTTAACTGGAACCTCATAAATTTTTAAAATATAAAAATAACAAAAGAAGATACTGCGAAAAGAAGAAAGAAAAAAAAATATCAATGAATCTTAATAAGAAAAAACAATCATCTTCTCTCTTTCTCTCTCTTTTTTTCTGTTAACTTAATTGCCGAGCTTCTCGTTGTTTATATACTGTATTTCTTCGTATATCTCTATATATTTTTATTTAACTTTTACGTTTTTTTTTTTATAATTCTTGTCTTTTATCACTTTATTTTATTTACTTTGTAAATTATTCTTTTATTTTCTTTTCTTTTTGTCATCATTCTTTGCTGCATGTATGTTCTTAAAGAGCTTGTCTTATAACAGCGTCTTAAAATGCTCTATCTATTTACTTATTTATCTCTCTCATGATTATGATTCGCCGGCATATTTTTCGGCCGCGCAAACGATTGACGATTTTTATGTGCGGCCAGTTACCGGGTGGTTAAGGTTAAGAAGCGTGTAATTCGCGTTGCGAGCGTTCGTCCCCGGGAGGTGCGCGCAAAGAATCCAGGAGCAGCTTGTCGCGAGTTAGCAAGAAGGAAATCATCTCTCTCATATCCCCCCCTTTTGCCGGCATATTACTCGTCGGCGAGAAAGAGACAAAGAGGCCGCGGCTGCACCAGCCCAGCGCATCTCTCGGCTCTTTACCTATTTACCAGGGATGCTCGTACTTTACCTAGAAGATATCCAAAAAGACGACGAGCCACGCGGGAGAGCAACGTTACACCGGCGGGACCGAGATATCCACAGAAGAGGGGCCTCTGTGAAAAGAGCATTGAGAGAGGAGGGCCCGATCTCGCGATTCCCACGTGCCTCTGTAGCTACCAAGAATGCGGCTACCTTTCTGGCTGTTCCGCGGATTTTTTCCACCTACTGATTGTCCTACCGTGGATCTCGGTACCCAACTTCCCCGGCCTTCATGCACTTTACTCGTTAGTACTTAGAATGCTGCCGACGTGGCTTAATGGAAGCCTAGTGCGTGCTTGTACGAGATTATTACGCCTCCTTGCTGCTACTTGCTGTAGCTGGCACTCTTACTTAAACGTTATTTCGATGTTCTTGAGAACAGCACGATCTTATCCATGTACGTATTATATGGCGAGTCCAATTCCAATATCTCATTTTAACCGACATCCGATTGCCGTAAATCCAGTGAGCATAATTTTATCACAATTTTATTTCACCGCATTGAAATTATTAAAAATTCAAGGATGTAAAAAATAATTTAGCTTCTTTTTTCACATTATTATAGAGGAGAAGATGGCATTACGTCTCCCAATTTACATTTTACACAATGATATTGTTAATATATAATCAATATTTAAATTTAAAACTTAAACTACATTTATCAAGGGCGTTGCTCAATCAATTCTAGATTCAAAATTAAATATTTATTAGGACATGATGTGGTGATATTGCATAATGAGGCGAAGAGAAATAG